CTGATTTTTGGCGAGTTAAATGTAAAAGATAGGAATAAAGGTATACTTGCTGGATTTTATTTCACTTATTCATTCCTTCAGCAAAGTAGCGAAAATTAATTGCAAGTGAAAATAAAGTATTCGACAGTAGTATAACAAAAAGGTATACTGTTAAAGTTCCTGATTTTCATTTGGAATTCTCACTGATTTGATGAATCAATGAAAGTAAAATCCAGTGAAAATACCCTTTTTCTAATATTTTACATAATGCATCAGTGAAAATAAACTTTAATAAATAAACAGGCAAAATTTTCTTTTCAGCTAAGTAAAATTATTTTATACAGTACCTATCTGCGTTTCCATGGTGTACAAACACACTGTCTATTTGTTTCCCCCCTGATATGTACAATTTGTTATCGCCATGTAAATGTTTTCAGTTTATATACTCTGTTTACAGTTCACAGCAAGTGGAAGTCACATTGCCAGAGTTCGGATGTAATAACTGTACAATACGATTATTAAGACAGGCAGGGGAGTGGACTACAAGTAGAGATGAGGGATATATATTCTGGAGTTGTGCTGATGTCATAATAACTGGTAAGTATTTATGTTTATGTGTGAGTGAACTATTACTGTAAAATACTTTATTTTAGCTGGAATTAATTTTCGCTGAAAAGACTTTTTGGGTGTTTTGTATGGAATTTTTTTTCCCTGATTTTTGATGAATGTAAAATATACGAAAAAACGTATATTAGCTGGATTTTATTTTCACTGAATCATTTCTTCAGCAAAAATAGCAAAAATTAATTCCAAGCAAAAATAAAGTATTTTACAGTGACTAAAGCCTTAATTAATTTGTTGTAAAAATTTCCCCAAAATTACTAGCATACTTAGGGTAACATATGGGTGTTTTTTTAATTCAAATTATTTAAACATTGTGAGACAACTGTGGTAATATACAATCTAAATCATTTGAACTGTTTGAAACTACTTCCAACAGTAGTTATTAAAACATTCCATCTAAACATTTCAACTGTGTCAATGTTTCAAAACATTGTGTCATGCAATGTAACTACCAGTACTACTAGACATAATAACCAGGTCTGGCCATCCAGCCATGCATTCAGCTGTGCATTCAGAGTAACTTTATAACGGCTTTGCTTTTTGATAAACAGCTGCAGACAGACTGTGTGTGTATGTAATAATAATGCTGAATGTTGTCACATTTGTGTTAGCGCCTGGCTTAATAATAACTTTAGAACTCTACATGTATTATTTGAAGGTACCATCTGAGGGTGCTTTATGGTAAAGACAAAACATAAAATACATTGCATCGACAAAAATAAACAATACATAATGAGAAATACCCATTACAAAAATATAAACCTTGTTCTTATTTAATTTTGTGTATTGAATTTTTTAAAGAGTTGGCCAATGAAATACTACAATTGCATAATTGTTTTAAAGTTATTTAGTCTCTCCTCTTTCCTTATTCCTCTTTTTAATGTTACCAAAGTGAATGTTGTGAAAGTTTGTGATTTTTCTCTGATTTATAGGAATTTGAAAACGTGTCTCTCAATTGTCTTTTTTTCGGAGTGGACTCCCCATATAATAAGTACTGGTGAAATATTTGCATTTATTTTATTACCACTTGTACGCAACCTGATAGAGCACTCAATGCTCAAATAATATCCATTCTACACAGCTCTGCATCTCCTGGCCCATCATACACTTCTTGAGCACTGATAGTTGTATAGTTTCATATCAAATATCACCAGTTAAACCAAATGTTTATGACATTGAATTCATTGTGTACGTTCAGTCGATCAACCCGACAAGTCAATCTGATGAACTCTTGAAAAACACACTGTACAGATCAAATACAACCAACTTGAAAAGATACTAAAAACAACGTATGTAGACATGTAGACTCAGTGGCCGATTAAATTGGTTTGCATCCTGCTGTGTATGGTAGTAGGGTAGATAAATTTTCAAAATGATGAAGAAAATGTGTTCTTGATAGCCTTCAATATCAATAATGTGCTCATTGAACTGAAACTAGTAAGAAACAAGACAGTTTGTGTTCATTGCATAATAAATGTCCAAGTCAGTTGGCAAGATGCTGTAAAATTGATACAATGTACCGGTACTTATGGATTCTAGCTATGTATAAATAAAATAACAGTTGCAAACAGTCTTTTCAAACAGATCAGTTGATTTGCATTGTATATTATACACATGATATTTCTAACTCACTCTGGCATATAATGATTACTGTGAAATACTTTATTTTAGCTGAAATTAATTTTCGCTGAAAAAGCTTTTTGGGTGTTTTGTATGGAATTTATTTTCACTGATTTTTGATGAGTTGAATGTGAGACATAGGAAAAAATATATATTCGCTGGATTTTATTTTCACTGAAGCATCCCTTCAGCGAAAATAGCGAAATAAAGTATTCTACAGTACTTTGTACAGATTTTCTGCGTTACTAGACATTTATTTTTACTCACTTATCAATAAGTGTAAATTATTATTCATTCATCAAACTGAGACATATGTGTGTAACTGTGTTTTGTTCTTTACAGATAATGCAGAGTGTGGTAACGAACCAGATACAAATACAGAGTGTTTTGAATCAGGAAATTGTACGGATGGAACCTGTATGTGTGATGCTGGTTACTATGGTGATTATTGTCAATACTCTGGTAAGAACAGTATTATTATTTATGTTTTCAGTGATAATTCTTTTAAATTATATTCTACTGAAACATTTGAACTTATTAAAATTTTATCTGTAAATGTTTTACCTTAAAGACTTTTAAATAATTAGTTTTGAAAAGATTTTTTAAATTACATTTTTCATTAATTAAAGCCTAAATTAGTGTTGAATTATTATATTAGGCTCAAAAGTAAAATCTGAGACAATTTTAGAGAACTATTAATTATTAGATCGTTAAATTTTTATGGTACAATAATACCATCTACTTTTCTATTTTAAGTACTTTTGGAAATTCACCATATTAAAAATAAATTGGTGATACCATGATATTACACTTATTTTCAGATGAATGCGTATCAAGTGCAGACTGCTCCAATCATGGCCAATGTCTGGATACCATGGCAACAACTTCCCCACTGAAAGTATGTTATTGTGAGCAAGGATGGTTTGGAAATGACTGCAGTAAACGTGAGTATGAAACTCTAGCAGTTACAAATGAAAGGGACGTACTGATTTAAAAACTGGCTAAGATAATATCTCATTCTTTCTGTTTATGACACAAGCACGAAGCGTGCATCCATATTAAACTACATGCTACTTTGAACCATAACCAAAGTGCTTAGCTCAATCCATTGAGTGACCATGCATTAACACAGCTTGGCAATCTGGGAATTATAAGTTTGAATCCAGGGTGTTGCTTGAAAAATAGATAATTATCAAATAGTGTTATTCTCTTCACTTGAGCCGTGTGAGAACAACCAAGTTTTGGAAAACAGTCCTCTCCTAGTGAATGGGTATTATTTAAAACAAAGAAACTAGTAAATGTGTACTGTTTGAAAATCAAGAAAAAATACTTTCCCAGTAAATGCTGTCTGCTATCAAAGGTTAGCTGACTATTTGAACAATAGAGACAGTCAAGCCAAAGGGCAGAATTACTGGAGTAAATATACAGCAAGAGCAATGGTCACATGACCAAGAATGGTATAATTGTGAAAAAACGCATCACATATGAGAAATTGTGTAATTTTAGAAGTACAAATCATTTTCTGGATATAGTGTGTTTTATTATTTTGAACATGTGATAGGTGTGTGGCATTTTAATAGCAATAAAATATTTTATTTTTTGTGGATATATTCACATCATATGTTGATTTTGTTTTGTTTTGTCTCAGAGAATCCAAGTGACTTCAGCGTTAATTTCAAGAAACGTGATTATTATCACCGAGAGTTAGTTTCTGGATTTGATCTATATTGGAAGATTCTGCAGGTAAGTTTTTACTTACACACAAAATTGAATTGAATTATTCAGCTACTGTAAGGAAATTATGCAAAATTTTAGCAAAGTGAATGAACTAGAAAAATGATAAAATATGGTGCAGGAATCAGAACTGCACAATACATACAAAAATGTATGCAAATGAGATATGAGCAGCTCCACCAAAATTAAAAATATTCTTTCCACCATAGTTATGATTTTAATGTGATTTTCAACTCATTAGCAATAGTATTTAGTGTATTGTACTTTACTGAACAAGTTTATTGTGATTCTTTACATGTTTGTTTGTAATATTATTTAGCTTTATTAAGCATTCTGTTTTTAATAGTTGATTATCGGTAACTTTATTTTATTTTATTCAACCAAAACACAACTCACTGTAGTTTGTTTTAGTGTTGAATAAATAAATATTATTATTAAATAGTTAAATGCTTGAAGTATTTTTATTGTTAGCAAAAGCCCACATATAACTGCATGTCTAGGAAAAAGGCAAGGGTGCATCTTTTAAGTTGAAAGGACTAGAAATCATCTAGAAAGAAGACAGATGTATCTGGCAGTTTTTTTGAAATATTTATATTATATTTTCCAGAATAGAAATGAGGTTGAAATTGCTTTAGAAGTGGATTCCACAACATGGATTGGACTTGGATGGAAACCTACAGGTAATTCAAGTTGTTTTTGTTTCGGCTGTATTTGTGAGTTAACATTGAAGGTTTAGGTAATATGAAATAGACAAAACTTATGGCATGATGACACAGTGATTCATACATGCCTTAAGACTGTTAGTTTTCTTGAAAATCCAATCTCAACTTGTGCTCCACTGTGAAATGACTAATATTCACTGGTTTAAATTTTGCTGATTTACAATTTCAGGCATATTCAATGGGTTTTAATTTAAATTCACCGTTTTATCATTTAGATAATGTGTTCTATGCTAAATTTTACATATTCACTGGGTTTTAATTTAGCACATTTTCCAGTCAGCGAAATAAGCAAAATTGAAAGTCTGTGAATAATTAATCCTTTTACAGTATGCTATTCTTCTCTCATATTTGTATATTTTGTGATTCAATACTTGAGATAATATATGCTCGAAAATCTAAACTTTTGTACCAATTTAAGAAACACAATCTCATAATAGTGTTCTTTTCGTTATAGGATTGACAAGTGCCTGCAAAGACTTCCCTGTAGATTACAGAAGTGGGCGTGTTTCTTCTGGCAGCATACGTAGGGTAAGTAACCGCACTCAGTACCATAGCTTATCTATTTGAAGCCTTACAAAAATGAACTGCAAAATGTGAATTTGATGTATTCTATTGTATCTTACATGTGTTGTATCTGTCACTTGATAGTAACAAATATATATATATATATATTTATATATATATATAATTATAACTGTTTGGTTCAGACTCGTAGAAGTTTCAACTTGCCAGATATCCAAGATAAACCAGATATACAAGTACAACTCTTGGATCGATTTCGAAGAGATGTCATGTATACCTGTGAAACTGCTGTAGCTCCTGAACCAGAGGGGGAACCAGAACCTTCAGGTGAACCAGAGGGAGAACCAGAACCTTCAGGTGAACCAGAGGGAGAACCAGAACCTTCAGGTGAACCAGAGGGAGAACCAGAACCATCTAGTGAGCCAGAGGGAGAACCAGAACCATCTAGTGAGCCAGAGGGGGAACCAGAACCATCTGGTGAACCAGAACCAGGTCCGGCTGCAAGTGAGTGGTTGAGAACATTTTATTCATTTGTTTGTTTGATTAAATGTTTTACAATATGATTTTTTTTTTAAATTATTTATTTACTCGCCTTGGCTACTTTAAACCACTGCTTTAGTTGAAAAAGCAAAAATGGCGCCCAGATTTCAATATGCAAATGTTGATAATCAGTATGCTTGTATAATTATTTCTATTGTAAATTCTATAGTACACTTTAATTTAATTTTTTTTTTTGGTTATTTACTTTTTTTGATTTTCAGACTTGCATCCCATGGACTGTACTGACCTTGTGATTGGTTCTGTTAAAATGGGTTCACTGAGTCATATCAGTGACTTCTACACCAGAGATAGGTCAACACCTCGATATGATGAGTTTTATAACATGGGTACTGATGGTATATTGGCAGCGGATGGCAAAGAAGTTGATGGAAAAACAACTATTGTATTTAGAAAGAAACTTTTAGGTGAGAAATTTATAGATATTAATATTTTGGTTTCTATTCATAAATTTCTGTCCCACAACCATTTCTCAAATTCTATTCAACATTAATGAACCCATTTTTATGAAGCACTGCAATTTCTGGATGATTTTTTTTTTATAATAGAGCTTTGCTTGCTTCATTATCAATTGTAGTCCATGAACATAATTATTCGTCACCTGCTCATAAGTCAGGTGGTCATAGCATGTCATTGTTTATAAACAATTGTCTACCCATGATCCTTTGCGTTTTTAGTGTGTGTTGTTATCATCGCTTGGGACACAATTCCCGCGAGTGACGACCCTCCCACTTTAAACTGTTGTTTAAATATGTGGACTCTATTTTTGTAGCACACATATCAGTATTTGTTCACTGAAACAGAAAAATTCTCTAATATGCATTGGTTGTTTTTGGTACATACAATAACAGTCAATAATGCATTCACTTTGTGTGTTCTGAAAACTCATCATTTTTAGTTTATGTTGAATCATATTTCTGGTCTGAAATATGGAGTATAACAATATTATAAATCTGTTTTCATCCACATTGTTCACATTGCTTTTTTTAAATCACTGTTCAATACACAGTGAGCTTGTGTTTAAAATTTGTGAAGAGTGCCACCTAGTGTTCAATTTTTTTTTTAGCTCCACTGTTGACTTTGTCGATCAGAGCTTAACATATGAGTGATTATTCTTGACAACTAAAATTGTTATTGCTTTGTTACTTGGTGTATTTGTACCTTGGGCAGACCTCTCTCAGATTTGTTCATTTCGTGATGATATCTTTAATTCTCTAATTTTGATGAATATTTTTGGTGAAAAGTGATATTTTTGACCGCAAATCTGATTACTTTGATGTTATACATATAGGTACCTCAGATAGACTTCTTTTAAATTTGTTCATTTCATGATGATATCTTCAATTATTTAATTAAAATGTGCTTTGCTAACAGTGGAGCTATCTCAGCCAACAGGCTGCTTATTTTTTTTTTTTTTTGTAATGTAATGTGAAAGTGTATCTTCAATAGAATCGCATCTAAACCAACAATGGCATACTAGATCCTTTAAAATGTACCTTTTTATGAACACAGACACATCTGTTAGTTACATAAGCTACAAATAGAGAGCATACGCAACTATTGATTTCTACATTAAATATACATTTTCTTTGCTGCAAAATAAGAGTTGTTGTATATTTTTCAGCATCTGAGATGTCGGATCATTCAATAAGTAACAGTTTAATGAGTGTGATATGGGCACGTGGTCAGACTCCTGGTGATTACTGGCATGCCCCTGCATCTGGTATAGAAAGCTGTATGGCAGAGGATTACATGTTTTACCGGGTGGATGAACTGAAATACCACGGTACAAGAGCAGATCAGAGAGGAGTCACTACAATGAATTTCTATGGTCAGTTTTATTTTATCTACCAAAAATATATCAATACCCATTAAACTATAGAAAGCATGTCAAATTATGCAGCAATGTGTAAATGTGTTATATGCAAATGATGCACAATTATGCAAATGTGTAGCATTATGCAAATGTGTAGCAATATGTAAATGGTATATTATGCAAATTACGCAGTGATGTGTAAATGGTACATTTATGGCAAATTATGACATAATATGTAAATGATGCAGTAAAATGCAAATCATAGAACATTATAAAATAATCCTAGCATTGTGGAAATTTTGAGTTACATATAGAAGCATTGGAAATAAACTACATAACCTAAGATGGACTTGAATAAAATCAGTTAACATTGCTGCTAGAGAAAATGCAGTATCAGGCTAACTATGAATTTACAATATCAACAAAATTTCTTTTCATGAATACAGATGACCCAGATGCAACATCAGTTAGTGGCCCCTGCAGAGGAGAGTGGGCAACCCCAACAGGTTGTCAAGGTGGAGAATGTGATTATAGAGCCACATGGCTTTATCAAATTGAGGATGATACTATTGTGTTTGAAATTCAGTCCAAGAATGGTCGTGACAGTAATGGAGACGTGAATTGGCTTGGCATCGGATTCTCTGATGATAAGTTAATGGTGGGTGTATTTACAAACTACATCACAATAGATAGATGAGGTTGATAATACGGTTTGTCAGTGGGTTCCAAATTGCTTACTTTACTACTGTTCTGTCAGATTACTTTGTTTACTTATACATCTATTGTATAAACTTGTTTATGTGTACACCTGTCACTGTATCTGTAGGCTAAAAGTGATATGGTTGTTGGTTGGATAATGGACGACGGTCAGTTTGAGATTACAGATCGTTGGGCAACTGGACATAACCAACCACAGATAGATTCGAAAGAAAATTTGATGAATAAAGCTATGTCTGATGTCAATGGCATCACCACCATGAAATTCACAAGAAAACGAAACACGCATGACAATGCAGCGGTAAGAAAATACAAATGAAAAGATCACTTTCACCGCACAATGGTTTAGTCCACATTTGGTGGCATTTCAAGTGTTATTAAATTGTCCAAGATAGTTTCCATAGTTACAAACATAGAAAAACTTGTGTTCTGCATTCTCGTCAATATCTCAAAAATTTTTAATTTTTGCATTTGTCTTTATAGGATGTTTCTTTCAGTGATGATGTTTGTCGTTATATGTTCTTTCCTGTAAGCGGCGGTAGCGTGACCAATCATAACAACATAGCTATTGGAATTCATAGCACAACACCTGTTGTATCCGGTCAGAGAATATGTATCAAAGCATGCTGTAAGTGAAACTAGTTTATTTCTAACAGACATACTATAAAATGTCATTTAAGCTATTTTAATCGTGTCTTTCCTTAGATGAGATACAGCTAATTTAGCTTATACAATAAATGATGCATCTAGTTCAGCTAACAATTATCCTTCCTAAAGAAAGATTGCTACATTTAGCTAATCTATGTCCTTCCTAATTTAACTAACCTGTATTTTTCTCTTTTAAGTGATACAGCTAATATAATATAATTTGTATCCTTTCTAAGAATAGTTACAGCTAATTTACCTTCTTATCCTTTGTAATTTAGCTAATATGTATCTTTCATAAGTGACACGGCTAATTTGTTGCAAATATTTAAAATGTAAGGCAACAAGAACATAACAGCTTCATTTACCATACACTCAAGGTGCAGGCTATATATTTTCCCATAATCCATTGCTCCCAAGATGTCCAATTTATTCTCATGGCAATTAAACATGGACTGACTGTTGCTTATTAAAAAACTTGATATATGTCCTGACATTGTGCATGTTGTATTTCAGCGGTAATTGGTGTTGGTGGTGCTACAAGTATTTTCCCTGCAATGGTAGTTGTCATGGTAACAAGTATACTCAGCATAGTGGTAACAAGAATCTAAGTCTATACCCAAGAATACATACTTCAATGCAAATTATAATGGGTTCATTTCTACAACCTGCCAATGAAATGTAATAACCGCTTGCTATTTCAACTAAAATTATTTGTATATAAAACCTAGTTCATTAAATAAAAAATATAATGATTAATAACAAAATATGTAATTAAGAAAGAAGATAAAAGTCCTTATAAATGTTTCATTTACATGTGTGGGATCTCTTGGTTCCTATGTATAAATTCCTCTGTTGAAAAGAAAATTTATTTTGGATTATTTACTTGTATCTACTTTATTGTATTCCACCTAGATGTTTCAGCAAAATGATTTGTTTTCTCTGACTGTAACCAAACTCTCACTCTTCATGGCTTGGTACCACATTTAATTTAGTAATGTTATACATGTAGATGTAGTTTACAAAGACTGTCACTGGTTTGGGTGGACATTCATGAAGCTATTACCGGGTATCAGAGATCAATCAGTTTTGTTTGATTGTATGTAATATTTGCCTTGTAGATAGAGTGCAGTACATAATGCAGTACCATAGCCAATTACAACCTCTTGTTATTTATAAAAAAAATAGTAAAACAGAACCATGGGATATTTAGCTTAAAAGATTGTATAATTCATTTTGTTTATTATGAAATAAAAACGATGGGTTAGGGAGATGAAATCGTGTATTAATTGTATAACATCATAGGTCAAAGGTCATGTGAAGTTGTTCTGAGCAATAGCATCACAGAACGCCCATGTTGATATACATAGAAGATGTAATTATTCAGGAATGTACACAAGCTAAAAAGTAGCTGTATCTTCCATGAATGCAGACACTGAAAGAACCTTTAGATTTTGTGCTCTGTATCCACCTTTGGTTTATTATCTAGGCTGTGATTTGGTATTAGTTACAAAGTAGGTTTTAAATTCAATAACATCCAAGCAATTGTCAATGCAAGACTGTTGCTCACTTATACTTGTGACCATCATTGTATCAGAATTGTAGTTTTTGAAGGCAAACTTGTAGCAACTGCCCTTACTTTTGTCCATGTATCCACTTCACCAAAATGCAAATGTCTTTGTTCTTTCTGACAAATCGCAAAATTTGCAGATTGCAAATACCATGCAGGTTACTGCACAGTGAATTGATGAACTAAAATTACCCAACAAAGGAAGGAAGAGTTTTAAAAATCTGTGAAAGCTTATAGATATAGGTGAATACGATAGTGCATGTGCCGAACCAATGTTTATCTAAGGGAATACCTGAATGCCAATTTCACTTCATCATTTTTGACCATGCAGACTAGTTTTAACATAAATGACCTGTGAAATGCTGTAGACTGGAAAACCATTTTGTTTTGTGGTTACCATATCGTATCTCTGTTCCACCATTATCTCGAACTGCTGGTCACATTTCAATGAAACTTAGTAGGTGCTTTGAAACAATGTGCAGACCTGATTAGATTTGGATAAAAATCTATAGATATTAATTACTCGTAATTGGCACAATTAGTCAATTTCAGGTTTTTCCATTGATAAGTACCAATCTTATTTCAATGAATCTTAGTACATAGAAGCTCCATGTACACATCTCTGATCAGTTCAGAGTTAAAATCTGTTCATATTAATTACCTAATTTGTATAATTCATCCTTTTTCTGCATTTCCACCAATAACTTGTGTTCAAATCACATTTCAATGAAACTTAGTACATGGAATCTGCAGACCTTATCAATTTTACATTAAAATCTACATAATAATGATCTGATTTGCATAATAGTCAGTTTTCAGCTTTTCCATCAATATCTCGATATCTTATTTGAATGAATCTTAGTACATAAATACTGTGACATGTAAGACAATGTGATGAACTAATTAGTTTTGGGTTTAAACATTGTATTTTATGGAATTGTTGTAAAAATAGTAATTTTCAAGAAATATTAGGACACGTTTCTCAAAAAGCATTACTGTAACACACAAAATAATGCTATTTCATTGTACCATGAGACATTAGCTTCATGATTGTACATAATAAACTAATGAACATTGTCATGCGGTTTATGACCAATTTTGTCAAAAAATATGACTAGGCTTCTACCTTAATTAGGTATTTTTTTTAGATGATTGGAACGTATCAAAGGTATGACCGGCTGTAATTAATTCAAGTCGCTCCCAGGTCAAACCTCATACTTGTGATTTCCATTAGAAGATCGCACTTAGATTGTGGGAAAATCAATATTTATCAATGTATTTTTAATATGCCTCCACAATACAATATTTGTTTTTCGGTAGGAGGTTCTTTATCTTTTGTTTCTACATTACAACATCAACTGTTGACTTTGCATATTATCCGAAATAGTTTTAGGATTAAACACTGGTGGCGCTATACACACAACGTTCTGCATTCCTGATATTCTCGGATGTCATTTGATAAGTCTGTGACTGATTTATATTGCTTTAAATAACTTCTCACAGAAAACAGAAATTCAGCAGCACTGTTGATATTTCTGTTTACATGGATGCTTTGTCTCTGACTCTGGTCTGGATGTGCTGACAGCGTGACACCTCGCTTTTCATTCATTTAAAATACAAACATTGTTATCAAAGCATACTAAGGTCATAGAAAATGTAGACACGGTGGCCGTGTTTGGCATGAGTTGTGTTTTGGGGGCGTGAACTGTACAGACATAAGAATTCTAAATCATAAGATGACTTACTGTGCTGTGACGTACTGTATCGCGTCACATACAGGGGTGCCATAGTAACGTTTGATGTGAAATGTGATTCCTTTAAAAGGTAAGTAAGTAAGTAATTCTTTATTGCTATCGTATCCCATTTGAGATCTTGACATAAAATACAATAAAGTCAAAAACATGTAATAATAATAAAAAAAATGAAAATAAAAGGAAATACTAAAAATACTGTAAATGAATGAAATAAATACAAATCTCACAATAAGAGATAAATGAATAATTGTAATATAACATTGGTATATGGTTTTGTTTGATCCGTTTCACTGCAGCGTTACACGAGCCCAGAGTCTGTGCATAGATCATAAAAAAAATTCTATCTATCATTCGCGTGTTAAGAATATCTTAAATATGTATACGTTTAGACAACGGGGGCGTCGTACATAACATTCGACAATTAGTGAAAATACACAGCTATTTGTATTCTCGTATTGCTCACTGACATGTTCACGTGACCGATTTAAAGAATGGGCATTGTGTCCATGAAGGTTGTCCAGGGGAAAGTTCTGCACTGTTCTATACGACCCTGACGCAACTTGTTTGGCGTAAGGAATTCGAAATGAATCTTGTCGCGTTGGTGTTGTACTTCGCTGTACTGATTGACACTTTTGTCGAAAGCCACGTCAAGCTTACATATCCACCTGCAAGACATTATGAATTCGATTTTCTGGACGATGTTTCCACCTTGCCGCCCTGCGGAATGCGGTCAGGTGAGTGGGTTTGTAACATACATCATTCGCTGGCGTTTTCGCATTGTTTACAAAACACCTTGGTGGGCCGGAACCGTGACTTCCTACAAAACCTAGCTCTGACATCAAAGAGATGTAGTGGTAGTTCCAATATACAAGATATTATAATTGTTTCGTCTGACATGGGTCAGATACCGATAGTTGTTAGTACTCATACTTCCGGGATACCAGTCACCGTACTAAATTACAAAAGGTCACAATTTCTATTCCGCATTTCAGCCACTGTGTATACCCCCCCCCCGGTAAAACGATTAATGTTAATTAGCATTTGCATACGTGATAATGGGCATTTCATTTATAAAATCTTGTTACAGATGCAGAAAGCCCAGTGACTACATTTGAAAAAGGCCAAGTAATTAACGTTACATGGTTCCTATCCGTGGCCTATGCACACGAGGTAAGGTGTTTTACTAGTACATCTGCTGGTTCTCCGTTAGATTAGGGACGGGAGTATTGAAACTATGTAGAATTTATTCATATATTGTACATTTACCATTTTTAATATAGTTCCGGCACATTGTTTATTATATCAACATTTTTCATAATGGACAGTGACCCATCTCAACTAAGAAACTAAGATGGACAGTTCACCCATCTCATAGAGTCCGGTGTATTGACTCCGGAATCAGGATCATAAAACTGTGAGGAAACTGCATTGATCAACCTTCAAACTCCATAAAAAATCCATAAATACTAAAAGCAAAATAAATAAATAAACATATTTCCTCATGTTACAGGGTGGGTACAAGATTGAACTTCTTGACGGAGATACCATCCACGCGTTGTCACCTGTTGATGCCTTTATACTGAGTGAAGATTCTACGTAAGTGTGATTAAGATAGCCCCCTGAGATCATTCCTAAAACTGTTTGGTACATAATTCTCTTTAGGAATGATATCAGAGTGCAACGTCCAATAATTATAGATGTATTTTTATGATTACATTTACGACAATTTATAATCATTAAAATCCTACTATTGTATTTTTTACCCTGCCCGTATCATCATAGCCTGACAAAGTCGCGTAAATTGCGCTCTCCGCGGTACTTCAAACCCAACACAAGGGCTGATGCCGTTCGGCCTGCGAGGGCGCCACTCACGCCTACATGTCAGGCTAGTATAATCAAAGATGAAAGTAAAAGGTATATTAACCATTTCACAATCACAATTTTGTTGCACTTTCTTCTTATATTTTTAAATATTTCTGGAAATGAGCCCTAATTTTGGAGCCAACCCTAATTTTTTGAGTCAATTTTTACTATTTTTACTATGTGGCTATTTTTGTCCCAATCTTCTGACGTGAAGTGCAGACTATAATCAGGACTATTTTGTGAATTAGGGATGAAAAGAGGGAACTGGTGGTGAAAAAGTTTAGGGGAAAATGTCTGTCGTCGTGGTTGTTGTTGTTGTTGTTAATAATTGTTAATGTGTATAGATTAACATTATTAATTCTATTCCAACTTTTATCAAACTTGCTCACATTAGTAAGAACGTCAGATGTCCTGTGTGAAAATACCATGTAACAATTGAGAAAGTAGTAGTCTAGACTCTCCATCTACTTCACTGATTTCTGGTGATACACATTAAAAGGTCACTGGTCCCACAGAGAATATGCATTGTTGTATGTGTTCAATGAAGTAAATCATTTATCTTGTAATCAATATCTTTGGTAATGTATCTCCCAAATCCCATGGGAATACTAGGACTGAGTTTCAATGTCAACTCGTGTTGCACAGTCTAATACACATTTGCAAACATATCAATACAATACATAAACTGTCTTAACAGAAAACAGGATGTTAGATAATCGATATAAGCACTCCTATGAATAACCCTTCGGTTGCCAAAACTGTG